TTACACTCAATGAAACTCTATGTGTCCTTGTGTTTCCATTGAACTTTGCATATAAGGGATTTCACTGCTTCATAGGCTTCCATTGATGAAAGTGGAAGGGCATCATCTGAACTCCTATCTTTGTAATTCTCCCCCTTTGGCTGTACTTTTGCTTTAGGCACTTAAACAAGAATAAATTTACTGCTTATCCATTTGATGCTTCTTTTATAAAAAGGCAATATCATATTCTCTGGCATTCTCAAGATTTGCCATTCTGAATCAAACAACCCTATCAAAAAGTGAGCCTATCAAAAAGGACATAAACAGAAACTTTTCAAGAGAAGATAGACTAAAACGGCCAGGAAACATGAAAAAATGTCCAACATCTCTAATCATTAGGGAAATGCAAATCAAAACCACAATGAGATACCGCTTATCTCCAGTGAGAATGGCCTCTATCAAAATGTCCCAAAACAATAAATGTTGGCATGGATACGAAGAGATAGAAACATTCATGCACTGCTGGTGGGACTGCAAACTAGAAAAACCTCTGTGGAAGGTAATATAGAGATATCTCAAAGAGCTACAGGTAGAACATTTGCTCCACCAATCCCATTACTGGGCATCTACCCAAAGGATAAAAAGACATTCTATTAAAAAAGACTTCTGCATGCAAATTTTTATAGCAGCACAATTCACAATTGTAAAGATGTGAAAACAACCCAAGTGCCCATCAATACATGAGTGGATTAATAAAATGTGGTATATGTATGCCATGGATTTCTACTCAGCCACAAAAAACAATGGTGACATAGCATCTCTTGTATTATCCTGGATAGAACTGGAGCCCATTCTAATAAGTGAAATGTCACAAGAATGGAAAAACAAGCACCACATGCACTCATCATCAAATTCTTATTAACTGATCAACATTTATGTGCACATATAGTAATAACATTCATTGGGTGTTTGGCAGGTGGGAGGGGGGAGGAGGGGAAGGGTATATTCACACCTAATGGATGCAGTGCACACCGTCTGGGGAATGAACATGCTTAAAACTCTGACTCGGGTGGGGAAAAGGCAAGATATGTTACCTAAACATTTGTACCCCATAATATGCTGAAATAAAAAAGAAAAGAAAAGAAAAGAAAAGATTTGTTATTCTGTTTTCTCACCCATCATCCCTTCTTAATTTGTTCAATTGCTCTATCACAAAAATGGACTTTGCCTAAAGATTTTGGGAAAAAATGGTCACATACAAAAGAGTGAAGTCAAATATCTTCATCCAGAGCTAAAAACATGTTGGTGAGTTGAGGATAAGAAACTTAGAGGTTATTGACAGTTCATTACAGGGTATTCTACTCATTTTACAGAACTTTAAATCGACTAACTCATCAAAGTAGTTATTTATGAGGGGAAGCCGGTCAGATGTTTGAAAATGTAGCAAACAAATGACTTATGCCCACAGGTCCCTTGGAGGCCTCTTCCCACCACAGCGGTAGGGCTGACTGTTTGAGAGCAGCTGGGGTCCCTGAATGTCCTCTGCTCTTTTTAATTGCTCTTTTCCAGGTTCTTGCCAGTGTGAAGCCCACAGCATGGGGGACTTCTCAGAAGCTCAGCCTCAAGGGGAAGTTACTCTGCATCCTGAGAGAAGTGCCAGGGGGAGCCGGAGCCTTCTGAGAACTGAGGCTTCCTCTCCTCACACTGATTTCTCCAAAAGCCCAGTGGATAGATTAGGAGGAAAAAAAGAGAAACAGGGCCAACCAGCATAAAGGAATGTTTCAAGATTCTAAGAAAGACAAGAGCGAGCTCTTTCCCCTAATAAGGAGCTGTACTTAACTACTTACTGATAAGAATCTCCTGGAAATTTAAAAACCCTCTTTCGGGTTTTGAGATAGTCAAATGAACTCTGCTTATTTCAGAGGCACCTTCTTCCAGAAACACATTTAATCAATTTTTAATGACTTCGATCTTATATTTCTTGTTTTTATTTTTGGTTTTTCAGGTCATTTGAAACCACCATTCTAAAGAAAGACTATGCTCATGTTTGTGTAAATCTGTGTTTGTTTGCCATCTTAACGTTCCATGAACACTCACAAGACAACTCTTAACACCTACATGTGTACGTGTGTGTGTGTGTGTGTGTGTGTACATAATTGCAGGCTCATCCCATTCATACTGTTTAAAGTGAGAACACAGGGTAATAAAATTGAGAGGAGCTGGCTTACTACTTTACAGCTATACCCACTGGGCCAGTGAACGTTAACTCTTTCATCTAAGGAAACAGTTTTGCCAGCCCTCTATATGAAAGCAGCAGCAAGGGTCCCTAATGGAATTATTTAAGAGGCAGCAGGAAGAATCCCCTATCCAGAAAAGCCTCCTTCACTGCTTTGCCATAATACCTAAAATGCCAACAGAGGAGGATTTTTTTCTTCTTTATAAATTCAAAACCTTTGAGAATAGTTGTGGCCATTATATACGATTCAGTTTATAGTTTTTCTCTGACTCTTTGAGGTTAGGGAGAGGAGGCAGGATACTTTAAAGGATGGGGCTGTTGGTGTATAGGAGGGTAAAAGAGAGAAATCCAGAGACAAGGGAAACAATCTGAACAGGGCAGAGAGGACCTAGTGGGACTCCAGGGGCAAGGCGGGGTGGGACTAATGAAGGAAGTGGTGCATGGGGCTGGTGGGTTGTGGTTACTTGGCTCTGTAATTAACCAGCTGGAGGAAATCTGACTTTTAGCCACACATACTTTCCAGATCAGTCTTCCCACTTGCAGAATAAAGAGGGTGGATTAGGTCAGTCATGTTTCCGACTAAACTCTTGAGAGCTTTAAGGTTTCTGTGGTGCTACAGATATCTCGACTGAGGCAAGGGGCTGATTGTGTGGGGAGGGGACAGATGGTGGAGACCCAGGATATGCCTCTCCCCACCATTTATGATTTGACCCATGGCCTATTTTACATTGGATTTTCATTTCAAACTTTATTGAAAAAATATTTATTCAGTACATATGATACAAAGTTTAATTTGTCATAAAAAGAATTTCTGCTGCTAAAAATAGCATGACCATAGCTAGCTGGATGAATTAAGATTCTTTCCACCTTTCCAGCATTAATACTTTATGATCCTAATCTAAGAACTACAGATTCATTCATTCTTCACTATGGGAATCCTAAGGTATGAGCAATCATCTTGAATAATTAGGGAAATGTCATAGACATTGTAATTCTGTGAAGCATACCAAAAGCACAAAAAGGCTTTTGCAACCTGCAACCTCTTTATTCTAGAGAATATCACTTACTGATTTATTTTAATTAGCTATAGTGAAAAGTTCCCTAAATTTTCTGGTTTTTTTTCCCAACGAGGAGACATCAAAAGTAAGAATTGACCGAGGCAGAAGATACGTGGACCTATAGCAATGCTTTATATTTTTCAATCAACAAATTATTAATCAGGAAGTAAAGAGAATGAATTCACTTTAAACTTACAAGATAACTAGATATCCTAAAAGAATAATGCATAATTTTGGAAATTTGATTCTCCTCATTTGACAACAGTAGAAAATAACCAAACCAAATATAGACAAAAAATATGCATCTCGGAACCAAGGTACTAAGTTTGAAATATAACTCATTCATTAGTTACTTAGTTTAGATTCATCTTTCTCAAAGAGTTAATTCATCCACTGTGTTGTTGAAAACAATCAGGGTACTTGGACATTGACAAAATTGGCCCAGTGAAAATCAAATAATGTAAGTTTATTTGTTTTGTAATTGTCTATTGATGTCATGTGTTGCTTTTTTTGTAACTACAAATCTCTCTTACCTTCCTCCTGCTGGGCCACATCACGCAGGTAGGGAAGAGAATCTTCCCAGTAATGGAGTAACTGAGGGACCATGAGGGACCCAAGGGAGATGAAAATGTAAAAGCAGGTCAAAGTGTGCCTCACACGTGCTCTGCTGGTGCCTTAAGCGCTGGGAGAATCTAGCAAATTATGTAATTAAATTGGCCAGACCACTCAGTTAATTACACATTGATTGATAGATTATTATTAGTAACAGCAAACAACTCTTGAAAATGGAGAGCTACTTCTTTTCATATCTGACTTTCTCTGATCCACTGGAGTAAAATCCATATAAAAGTAAAAAACATAAAGGTAAAAACTCCCTAATTGTTTTTGTGCCTTTTACTTAATTGCAGAGGAATCGTTTTTCCGTGATATTCCTTTTATATGAATTTGTAAATTTTTATTTGAAAACTGAATAATTTTCATTCTTTCTTTGAAATGTTCCAGCATGTTGCTAACTAAACTTTACTTCAAACTATCAGAAAAGACTTGGATAGAATGTGGGGAGAATTAAAAAAGCCATTACTTTTAGGTTAATGAGGACTACACGAGAGAGACTTATGATAGAAAGTCTTTATAAAATATTAAACAATATAGGAAGACATTTTTATCAAATAAGCTTTCAATTGTTCATGTTTCTTAGTTTTCTTAAATGTCTTTTTGGTAGGCTTTAAATTGCTGAGAATTTTTTATTTGTTTATGTTTAAAAGATGTTGGTTTCTCTGTCTGAATTCGTTGCAAACAGTCACAGGCGTTGCATTCTAAGGAAGAACCTGCTGTCATAAAACTAGATTGTAACTTACTCTGCAGAAAAAATTATAGTTATTTTACAGACATTTAAAAGAAATAAAATAATAAGAAACATAGTTCTTCAAAAAGCCTTCTAAACCTCAAATTAATATAGATAACTTAAAGCTTTTCATCCTTAAGGATTTAATGAGTCTAGTATTCTCTTTCATAGCTAATTTCTTAAGCAGTCTATTTTTTTTAGTGTAACTTTAAAGTTTTCATAAATAAATATCCATGACTAAAGTTACTACATAGATCATCTTTGAAGCCGACCTGTAAATAAAGAAGCAAAATCTCAGTCTTTGCAATTTACAAAACAAAGCCCACTGGTTTAATGCACTTGCTTCCCAAGATGGACAAACCCACAGGAGAAAGTAACTTACTAAGGTATCTGGCGTGGACAGCCTCGTGGTGGTGTTCAGTCCCACCAAGGATGGGAGAGTTTGGGACATCCAGTTTGAAATCATTGCCATGGTGCTAAGCACAGCGCCAAGCTTCAGCAGTGGAGGACTCATTGCTGTGGAGCTAATGAGTTTTCATAGTGACTGATTAGGATCCCGGAGCTGGGCTGGCAGCGGGAGGCGTGACTGCAGCGCGCCACATCTACAGCATGAAAGGAGATCAACTTCCCCAGCACTAATCACCGGAGAAAGCTTACAGAACCTCCTTTCCTCACTCTCCTGGGAAGTGCCCTGCCCTTCCTGTTTCTCCCTTACCAGACACTTTGCTGGATCATCAAACGAAATATTCTTGATAGAGCTTGGTTGGTGATTATCAGAGCAGAGGTTGGAGGGAGGGGGAAACATGAGCTTTCCCAGCTCCACTGTAGTCAGTTACCATCAACAGAGTCCATTTCCTCTGGGGTTTGCCTAAGTATAATCAGCTGCTCTTTACCCTTCATTAAAAAATACACCTTTAAATGGAGGTCTGCCAAAGTGCACATTTCAAGCACCAAACCTAATATCTACAGATTTCTCTGGGCAAGGACAGAGTGCTTTTAGGGAAAGCATGAAAACAAAGTCTGCAAATAATTTCCAAGATGATCAGATATTGAGAGTAGGAGATAATTTTTTTCAATAGCAATCTAAAATTAGCCTTGTTGCTTTAAAAATATAGTCAGAGATTAATAACTACTGCCTGTGGCAAACATTACCTCTAGGCACCTTATTTATACTTGAACAGACAGAAAAAGCAGCCTTGGAGAAAATCTTCTGTTATAGAAATTTTATGTTTCCAGTTTTGCTTTTGAGAATGAAGGCTTTGCTTCGTAGGTGTTCAGTCACACAGGAAACTCAGTTAACTCTATTTTCACTTTGTGGGAATGACAGACTGATATTGAAAGTCTATATCTTGAGAGAATGAAAAAGGGCATAGGACTTGAACTCAGGAAGTCTGAGGGTTTAGTCCTTGTTCTCCTCTAGTTAGCTGTGTGACTAGCCAGTGACTTAATATTCCTTGTCTTCAGTTTTTTCTGTAATATACAGAGGTTGGATTCCATGCTCTCCAAGGCCCCTCTAGCGCTCAAATTCAATAATCTGTTTATGACAGTTCCATTAGCAAATGTAGGATATAGAATCCAGGGCTTATGGGTAATTTTATTATACTCTTTTTACAAATACTGCAAATTGCCCGCCTCCAAATCTCAGGTCCTAAATGAAAGAAATCAGAAGACATTGTCTTTTACAATATTGTGTTTTAAAATAAAAATATAGACAGAAGACACAAAAGGAAATACAGCTGAATGAAAATGAAATGAAACCAAATCAGCTATAAAAAGGAAAAATATTGTTTTGATTCCTTAGGAGAATTCTGGAATTCTTGGTATATGGAATTTTCAGTCAAAGATACACACTTTTCTTAAGTAGTTTTGGCAGGAGAAGTAAAGACAATATCTTTAACAAAATTGAAAAAAATACATATTTATAGTCTGTGTGTACTGTATTCTCAAAAACAGTTTTAAACAGGGGTGGATGCTAAGAGACTCCTCTTCTTTGTATCTATTAGCTTGGAATCCAGGCTTTTTATTTTTTTTTGAAAATATATCCACATGATTTCAGTCAACCCTTACTTTTTAACCACAGTACCCAGAAAACCAAATATTATTACTGTTTTAGGATTTTAAAAATCATGCTACATGAGAAACCAATAAGGATAAAGGCACAATAGTTTATTCAATAAACTTAGCAGTAACAGAGCATTCATAGAAAGGATTGTGAAATTTTATATTAGTATTATGATATAATGTAGTAATGGCAAAAAGCAAAGTGGATTTACAAATCTAAATACTTGAAAAATAAATCTGGAATCTTATCTGACTTTAATAAAGGAGGGGGCTGTCTCTTTGAGAGCTTAACTTCCAAAATTGGAAATTAAAATACATACAATTACTGATAATTTAAGAAACAAGGTGGCAGATGGCAATTATATTTATTAATGAACTACTAGTCAACAAAATAATAGCATCTTTAGAAGAATGTAAGATTGACTGTCAGGGGAAAACAATGCTCTTATTTGCAAATTAAAAAGAAAGGAAGAAATAAAGATAAAAATACAAAGGAAATGCTTCTTGCAATTTCTTAGAGTTGCAAATTACTACACTAAAGAACTGAAATAGAACAGTGGTGAAAGTTTATGATTTGGTGATGTTTATAAACACATCAGCTTAATGTGTTGTTTTTAGAACAGGTTTAAATGGCACACATTAAAGTGGAAAAGCTCAAATTATAATGATTATTAGTTGTGGGAAATAAAAATAACTACACTTTGCAAAGAGCTAAGTAGTTTGTAGTACTCTTACAATCTACTGAAGTGATTTCCATTTTAAAAATTGAGTCCTAGTTTGCAAATAGGGGAAGGGATTATTCTATATAGGAATAGCAGGCTGTGTTCAGGGCAAGAAACCAAGTGGTTGCAGAAGTTTCACAAGCATAGTGTGAGTGGTAATGGAATTACCACTGGCAATTAGATGAGGGTGGAAATACTGGCTGCTAGCAGCCCAAGGGCTTCAGGGCCACTCAGAAGTGCTTGGACCTGGCCGGGCGCGGTGGCTCACGCCTGTATTCCTAGCTCTCTGGGAGGCCGAGGCGGGCGGATTGCTCGAGGTCAGGAGTTCAAAACCAGCCTGAACAAGAGCGAGACCCCGTCTCTACTATAAATAGAAAGAAATTAATTGGCCAACTAATATATATATACAAAAAAAAAATTAGCCGGGCATGGTGGTGGCGCTTGCCTGTAGTCCCAGCTACTCGGGAGGCTGAGGCAGGAGGATTGCTTGAGCCCAGGAGTTTGAGGTTGCTGTGAGCTAGGCTGACGCCACGGCACTCACTCTAGCCTGGGAAAAAAAAAAAAAAAAAAAAAAAAAAAGAAGTGCTTGGACTTTATTTTGTATATAATTCAAGGGTTTAAAGCAAAGCAGTGAGCTCCTCAGTTTATGTTGTGGATTATTACTTTGGCATTTTTATGATACAGGAGAGACAGAAGGGGTTGTGGGAAGAACAAAGCTTATTAGAGACAGGAAAGTGACATAGAGGTATGTTCTCATGGTTTGGGCAAGAGATGATGAGGTCCTTAATTAAGAAATTGGGAGTAGGATTAAAAACAATGGATTCCTGAAGGTTTGCAGGAGAACTGGCAGCCCTTGGTGACTAGATAGATGTGAGAGAGAAAGTTACTTGGGAAAACTTGCAGTTTTAGGGTGGTTTGGGTGATGAGTGTCATTTATCAGGATAAGATATACAGGTAGGAGCATAACTTTAGGGAGAAAAGAGAATTTACTGTCATGTACTTGATGTGAGTGGCCTACAGTATGGGGGGTCACTAGATGATAATGGTACCCACACCTGGAGTTCAGAAATGAGTTACTTTCCTGAGGCCACAAAGCCTTAATGGCCTGTAAAAATAATATACATGCCTTATATGACAAAATTAGTTAACTTAGCACAACAGCCTTAAAACTACCATAATTTTATTTAGGCTTTCATTCAAAATAATCTTTAGATTTAATTACCTATGCAGTCTTTTAAAAAAAATAACAAACATAAACAGTGAATATATTAGTAAATCTATTACTCTTATAGAAAATGTGACCTGACTATAGACTTAATTTATTTTTAAAATCTCCCAGTGGATCAATAACTCTAAAATTTACAATTGTGCATTATTGCTCATAGAATGCTGGAAGCTATTTATTAATATATTTATTCATTAGATTTTTTTTATGGTAGCCTGTCTTTTTTTCGCCCAGAGTATTTCATGATAGACTTATATAATAAATAATTAACAAGCAAATAAATATTAAGTAAGAAAGACTTATAGGTAATTTTACATAATATTGGCATGGGCTGTCATTAGAAGTTTATTTTTTTCTTTTACTTTGTAGCACAAAAGTTAAATGTTGCTTTAATGCTCCATATATACTTCATAGTTTGGGGGCTGTTTGTGTTCGGTGTGTGGGTTTCTGGGGAACACAACCTAGGTAGATTCGAAAAGTCAAATACAAGAAAAAACCTGATAGTCACATAAAACATGGTAAAAATATAGCCAGTTGATAAGGTAATTGTGGCCTAAAAATTTTTTGTGGTTTTTTTTTTTTTTTTGGCAAAATGAGAATAAAGATTAAGATTGCTTTCTGAACAACAGAAAATTTAAGAGGGAATAGTTGGCATGCACTTTATTTTTATGACTTAAAACACATTTTAAATTTGTGGATGGTTTCAGACAGAGGGGAAAATGGGTTATTAGATGTAGATGTAAAGATGTAACTATAGGGGCTGGAAAAATTACTGAAGGAGGAGGTGGAGGTGGAAGAGGTGAAGAAAAATGAGAAGACGGGGAGGATAGCAATTGGGTAGAACTCCAAAAGATGAATTGTTTTGATTGTTTAAGGGATAAACCAGAGTGACCTCTAGAGAAGACGGTGGATTCTTGTCAGCAAGTTACATAGGAAAAATAGGAAGAGTAGTATAAAATAGAAGAAGGTGGGAGACAGAGTGCTTGTGTGGAAATCACTTTGGGAATGCTGGATACTATGATGGGGGTGTGGTGTGAGAATGACTAGGTAAATAAACAGCTCCCACCTGCTATGGCACCCTAAAGGCAGTTTAGAGGGTAGTTCTCCAGGTTCTTCCACTTACTAGCAAAGGTAATATTGACTAAGTTAGTCTCTCTGAGTCTCCATTTATCATCTGTAAAATGGGGATAAAATTACCTATGTGAAATGGTTATTTACAAGACTGAATGAGATCATATATTTGAAAGTGTCTACGGCATGTCAAATGCTGAATCAATGGCAGGCCTCTTTTAGTAAGAAATGCCATGATTGGGGCAGGCCAAAGAGTAGATTAGATGAAGGAACAATTAGGTTTAAAAGAGGTGGAAAGTTTTGCAACTTTGTAAAAGGGTAGCTAGGTGGAAGTTAGAGTATATGCTACTTACAATTCAGTCAAATTCAATCACCCATCATGGGTGAAGAGAATAATACAACTTTGCTGCATGACACCATGACTCTGGGGCTAAGACTTCAACCCAAAGCAGAGTAAAGGGCCTGATTTATATTTTTGCTTCCTCATTCACTGAGAAGTTGAAGCAATTACAAGAAGACTTCCATAAGGTCCCACTGCCATCTCTCCCTACTTCCTTACATGGGCCCACATATTCTACCTTCTCTCCTGTTATCACAGATACATTGACTATGTTTCTAGGTAAGACTGATCTCTCCTCTGTGCACTAGATCAGTACCTTTCAGATTATTTCACATAAGAATCACTGACAAGCTTCATAAGACCCAGGTCCTTAGGTCAAACCAAAGAATCTGACTTAGCTCCAACATAGAACAAAATAATTTGCATTTCATTTTTTTTTTGAGAGTTTTTTTTTCCTTTTATTTTATCATATTATGGGGGTACAAATATTGTTAGGGTCACATATATTGTCCCTGCCATCCCCCTACCCCCAACCCCCGCCGTGCCAGAGCATCAAGCATGTCCAACCCCCAGGTGGTAAGCTCCACACCCATTATATAAATATACATCCTTCCCCTACTCCTCCCTCCCACCTGCCCACCACCTGATAAAAGTTTTTTTTTTTTTTTTTACATTTTGCTTACATTATATATCTTTGCCTCTCCCTAAGAAGGGTTAGAGGTATGCCCTTACCCCCCACACAATGCTCGCCACAACCCTAAGATGTGGGTCTCCCCCCTCCCCTGAATTCCTGGTGAACACTACCACCATTTGAGCACCATAGTTTTAATCAGTCAGTACCAATTTGATGGCGAGTAGATGTGGAGCCCATTTTCCTGATCTTGTGTTGCCTCACTTTGGATAATGGGTTTAAACTTAATCCAGGATAGCATAAACGGTGCTAGCTCACTGTCGTTTCTTAGAATGGAGTAATATTCCATTGTGAGAAATACCAAATTTTAATTATCCACTCATGAATTGACGGGCTGGAAATAATTTGCATTTCTAACAAGCTAAAACCACTTCCTATCTCCATTTTAAGTACAAAACAATAAAACTTTCCTGATCCTACTTTCTCTCTGATCATTCCCCTATTTCTCACCTTCCCTTTATAGTGTTATTTCTTGAAAGAGTTATTTATATTTACCATCTTCAATTTCTTTCTTCCTAATTAGGTTTTAGTCCACACTTCTCCACTTCACCAACACTGCTTTTTATCAAGGCTACCAATCACACCACACTGCTAAATCTAGCAGTCAATTCTC